GTGTCAATCTAAACCGCTTAGGGGAGTTCATTTTCTTTGCATCTGCAGAAAAAAAAAAACGCGCTTCAACTAAAAAGCCAAAGTGTTTGCTCAGGTGGAAGGCGCAAGAGTGGATAAGTAGGATTAAGAAAAGGTAATGCTGAAGGGTGAGATAAAAGAGGGTGGAAAAACCTGCCCAGAGCTAAGATTGAGGTGGCAGAGAGACAGGAGAATGACAAGGATCTAGGCAGAGATAATGAGCAAAGTCAATGACAAAAAAACAGCAGCAGCAGGAGCCGCGGTGGAATGTTCCAAAAACAGCATCTCTCAGTCTGGCTTTGTGTTTTCTCCTTCTTCCTTCCCTGGCTCATGCCTGCTGTTTTTCAAAGGAAGCTTGGCATCTAACTGGTTCCTGCTCATAACAGTGGGCCCATTCAAACCTGTGCTGTTCCCCCCTAGACGCTGCATGGGTGATGAGGACTGAGGTACGAGGGTGGGGACGCTGTGTCCTGGGGGGAGCATGCAGAGGTGAGGTGGGGAGCCGGATGGTCAGTAGACTAGTTGGAGCTGAATGTGTGGTTGCTAAACGGAGAGGAGGGGAGCGATGGAGGCGTGTGATGTGATACAAAGTAGCCTTTCTCCACTAGCTCACACACAGTTTGGCGTACATCACTGGAAGAACTGTAGTCCACTGTAGCTATCCGCGATATAGATGCCAAAGACACGTTTACGAATGGCGTGCACACAGCAAACTGGCTGATGTGAGTAAACCTGGATGCTTCTATTCATTTTGAGGCTATTGCTGATATATTTAATCCAAAACAAATGCCAAAAGCCCAATAACAAAGTCCAGGTAAAAGTGGAAAACAAGGTAAAACTAAAACTACTGTCCTTGCTCAAAGCAAAGCACTGCTCAATTATCTGGCTTATAGTATTGGCTTATCACTCTTTGCAAATATTTACACCCATAAACCATTAGACGCAGAAGTGAGACAAAGTAGTGCGTTGTGGAGGAATGTGTTTTGGCTCAGATGTGACTGTGTATCTTTTATCACAGCAAAGGGAGCGCTGTTAGCTTTAGCACACCTTCCACTGAAGCAAGCAGGTCTGGTGTAACCTAGGCCAAGTAAACAACCTCGCAGCTGAACTAACACACACACACAATCCCACTCACCTAGAAGCACTCACACAGGTTTCAGCTGCTGATCAGCATCTTCGTAGAACGATAAATTGATTCTATAACAACAATGCCAAAAAGGAGCATGAGAGTAGAAAGGGCAATGCAATCAAAATGTCAACAATAGAAGAAGAACCTAATTGAGGGCGACAAGAACAGAAAATAAATTCAACAACAAGGCTCGGTTCATGTAATCCAGGTGTAATCCACTCTTCATGTAAGAGTGAAGCTGAATCTCAACATGTACTGTTTTGCAGCCCTGGTATAAATAAGAGTAACCTTTGCTCTTTCTGCAAACGCATCATCCCGGTTGGGATTCACTCAGGTGGTTTTCTATCCCGGAGCAGGCAGGGATTAACTGCTGTCCATTTGGCCTCTGCCCTCCGGGACCTCCTAAATTTAGAAAGCACGGGGTTGGGGTTGAAATATTTGTTACACGGACAAATATATGCTCAATATACAGTAGTGAAATGGCAGAATAACCATAAATAATATTTTCTGACACTTGACAACACATACCGGTAGGTTCAAGGGGAATCACTAAATCAGATAAAAAGGACGTATGTGGTAATGACCTGGCGTGATGGATCAACTTCCAACTCAATCAAAAATGGTCACTGCAGGGACTTGAGATCAGATGGAGAGAGGTTGGATGAATACAGCCAACGGATATTTAACACCAGCATGTAGTCCAGAATCCACTGAACTATTCGAGGCATGGCCACAGCTAAGTTTAGGGTTTGGGAGCGTGTGAGAGGTCAACACGAGTCTCGGGTAAGGCAGCAAGAAACGCCGACCTGAACCCCCACCAGAGCTCATCGTCACGCGCGGGTCAAAGCTTTTTAGAGCACATGTTAGCGTTGATATGTTTATTTACTCAAGGACTTCTACAGAATGATAAGTACATAGTATTATAAAAGCCTGATTACGAGTATGGTGCAACCAATCATAAAACACATGGTTTGTAATGTATGGCAGATTGGATCAGCACAAAAGGAAAAGCAAATAATGATTGTGATGATTTGATAATCGCTGTCCCGATCCTGTAGTTACTCAATATTGGTGGATAACGATTGTCGACTCAATTGAATCAGTGGTTGACGTGCGTTCCAAACAGTGAAGGTGGATCGATACAGATCACAGATTGTCACTGGTCCATTACACCATTAATCAGGAGCACGGTATTCTGTTTGACTATTGCAGAGTTGTTGGTCCTCAGCAGATAATTCTGGGTTTTTCCAACCCCATTTGCTCTTTGCTACTCTTCCAAGTTGGTGTTTTCAGCAGGTTCAACAAATTGTGAAGGGTCAGCTCTGGATCAAATACCTCATAAAATGCAAGGGTAGCAGAACCCATGAAGGGCATATCTTAGATCCTCCATCAGATAATCAGTCATTGGTATGATCGGTAGCAGCAGAGCTGCAGCAGCCTAATTCCGCAGGCTGCACCTCTTGGTTGATCAGAGCCACAGTGGCGCTCAGTGAGGTCAACACGCATACACACTCAGTAATAGGGGAAGCATTGAACTGACACACACAATGCCTAACTTATAGAATAGACACGACAAAGATTGCTTTTAGAACCTGCAAAAAAATGAATGAGCTCACAAACCCTTTCGGCCAACGTCCACATTTAACTTTGATAGATCCACGATCCATGTATTCAAAGCCGGTCTGTGGGATAAAATTAGACTACGGCCCTCTCATTCTCATGTGGAGAATGAGACAGAACGCTAGGGGCATTCCTGAGAAGGTGACGAGGGATGAGAAGCAGGATAGGAGAAGACACCAGGATATTAAAAGCAAAGCAAATGAAAAAGTCGCGCTTTTGTGTTTGTATTGACCGGACGTGATGTGTATGGATCTCATAAAAAGGAAGCAAGTTTGATGACATCATTTTGCTGCTCCCCTTGGGAAACAGTAATTACACGAGACCATTTCCTGTTTCCCATTGGCCACCTATTCTCTGTATTCTTTGGGCAGAATGCTTTTAACACTTTACATGCGTGACTAAAGAAGAAGTGCCACTGCTGGGTCAGGCTAAAGACAGAAGACAACACCATACCGGCCATGAATGCTGTTATAAACAGACTTGTTAAAATCCGAAGACCAGAAAAATGTCTTCCCACCAATCCGGCATGTAACACAATGGCTGGTCTCTTTCCCGTCCTGACACGGCAATTATTCAAGGCGGAGGAATGCTGGAACCTCAGGACATGCGGAACTTTCTCACTTTTGGAATATCAATGATTCTCCTCTGCTGAGATGACCAGTGAGGAAAAACACCACCAAACAAGGTGTCCTTCTGTGCAGTTTATAAATGTATACTTTATTCTGTGTGTGCATTGGGTGGGATTGGCTCTCAGATGTATGTTAGAGTCATGTGTCGTGATTATCCAGCAGGACGTTTATGAAAGACCCTGAAGCAAAAAAACGCCGTAGCCTGCTGAAATTACAGTTACTGTGGGCTGTGGAGCTCAGCGTCATACAAAGAATCCCTGTCTCTTAAACCCACCCGGACTGAGGAGACGTGGGGGAGGGAGGGAGGGAGGGAAAGAACGAGTGAGTGAGTGAGTACACAAGTCAGTGTTTACCAGCAAAAAATACTTATAAAAGTTGAAGATGAGCAACTCTCCAACAATCTGAAATGAACACTGCTATTGAAGATGAATGCCCCTCTGTGGCCCACCCTGACCTCTGAACTCTCTGTGAAGGAGGAAAATAGTTTTCAGGGCTAAATATAGGCTTATTGTCTTGATATTATACATTCAAACCTTCACAATTGCGTTTAATAAACAGAAAAAAATAAACTCCCAAAGATTCATTATAAGCATCACTTTCCAGTCTCTGCTATAAACAACTATCTTCATAAAAGAAGGCTCTGTGACAAGAACCAATGATCTGATTAGTTCCTGATTTAAAACACCTCGTGACGGCTGATTTGTGACATTTCAGGCTACAGCTGCAATATAAGCATGAGGAAAATTCAAGTATTTGGAGAGCATAATATACCAGAAAAAGAGTAGACTTCACACCAGAAGCTGGCATTAGTTAGTGCTGCTCTGTGGCGCTTGGCACAGGTAGATACACATAAAAACAATGCCAAACTAAAAAGCACAACACACCAGTGATATCGCATTTTATTCAGCACATTTGTGCCACGACTGAAGGCTTTTTGGAATATATTTCAGTTGACCCATAGTGGAAGGAAAACTGTCACGTTTTTTAACAGCGCAAGGGCAAACAGCCCATTTATTTGAAGATTACGGGCCCAGAAATTAAGAGTACAATAGAATTTCCTTTTGAAATTCTTGTAACATTGTCAGTGTCCCCCTGCCTCCTCTTTCTTTCAACTCTGTTAAGAATGAAATGGAGGCATACATTTGTTACTTCCACAGAAATAATTGCAGGACCATTGTTGAAAAGCCCACACAGACTTGTAGCTCATATATGTGCAGCTGGCGGCCGTGTGTTGAAAAGCGAGACACAGCGGCAGAGAGATGGATGGCGTGCAGTGTTGTTTTCTGTTTAGTGTAAGACGTCTTTAATGGCTCCACCAGTCAGCTCGAACTGTATGGTCCATTATAGAAAGATCCTTTACCCAACCGGTCAGGGAAGTTACAACATGCAGGACCACAGCTGCACACACAGCTAACACAAAAAGCATCTGCTTGTTCTCCTTGTGAAAGACAATCAATCAGAAAAAATGAAGTAAGTAGTGGGGAGACATGACCACACTCCCCACAGCTGTGAGATTGTGTAAAAACTGGTGACGTAAGTGCAAAAAACAGCAATAAAAAACTGAGACAAGTGATGGTCAACATCATTTTGAAATAAACTTTTACCTGTAAACTGAGTGCAATCTGACGAATGTACATCATGTTGAGATCCTCCAATATCCACAGTTTTTCCTCCATGTTTGCGAATGTATCAACTGGCATGCTCTCGGCAGATATCCACAAAATGATTTCTTCTTTTAGGTAATGATCGGGTTCAAACTTCTACGCCACAGATACCGGGGCAGATAAAGTTCATTGTGACAGTGCCTCATACAACTAGTGCGTAAAACCACGCGTAAAAAGTTCAGCTCCTCATGCAAAACAAGACTCCGGGAAGGAAAACATAGGTGGAACGGATGACAGCATCAGCTGCACTGTTATAACCACGTCCATAAAGATTTCCCGCAGCCCGATCACGGCGCGTATTCTTCCTCTCCACTCTTCCTCGGGCAACAGAGATCCTCTGGAAACACCCACAGTAAACACCCAGCGGCGGCGGGGAGAGAATTAAGCCTTTAAAAATGCAGTTATTCCCTTCGTATCCAGCTGTCCCGAATGTGACTGTCTGTCCTCTGTGTGACAAGAGAACTCTCCACAAAAGGGCATCGCCTCTGCGGGAGTGATCGACACAACGGCTCCTGTGTGCGCGCCCCGTCGCTCCCCAACACGGCGCCAAATTAACCCCTACGACGCGCCTCTGGTGATGGTAATGAACTTTAAAAAAAGAAAAGGAAAAGAGAGGGGGAGATTACTGTAGCAGCCCACCCACCCACGCCCCTTTTTAACAAATAAATAGCAAATGCCCCCCCCACACACACACAAGCAGAACGGGGTGGGGAGCTTTGTTCTTTTCACTGCCTGGATAATAAATGGTGAAATTATAACCGTGTCAGATGGCGCGTTACAAGAGGAGTGGAAATGAACACCCAGCAGTAACCCAAGAAGGTGTGGTACAAAATGGGCGTTAAAATTCCTCCATTTTTTAACTTAAAAATGAGGAGATTCGCTTTGGAAACTAAAAATGACTGAAGTGAAAACGCACTTACTTGAGGAATAGGCTACATGCACCTTACTCATACACCTCAGCTGGCCAGAGGGTCACAAGCATTTGTCAAGAGGCAGATGCATATTTCATAGCGCAGAAATATTTGATCATTTAGCCTTTTAAACAGGCATCTCCTGGTAATTCTTACCACACCCTGCAAAAAAAATCAACTTCACATCCAGTGGGACATAACCCCAAAAGGTTCTCTTCCCATCCCGGAAGCTGTTCTCCTCCTGTTTCCAAAGCAAGCGAATCCTAAAGTTCACCCCACGTGACTCTGCGGCCATAAACCGCATCCGTGGTTCCGCTTCACGACCAGTATGAGAGCACAGAACCGATTCCCCCCCGGCGCGTTTATTCCCGGACCCCCGCACAGCTGTTGTGTGATGTGGCGAAGCTTTCCTCGTGGCGTGGGTGAGTCCACGCCGACAACTCCACGGGCAAACCGGCGTCAACAACGCGCAGAAGCTCATTCATTAAAACACATTCTCCCGATAAACGAGAAGTCCACGAGATTTCGCAGCATATAATAATGACTTATTAAGAGGATTTCCTTGGAACTTTGACGTGTGCGCATGCATACGGTACTCCATCACTGGAGCACGTCCCCCAAAACTCTTCCAAACAGTGAGAACACAAGGAGCCGTAAAAGCCCTTTCACCTCAGAGGAGGAGGGGGGGGGGGGGGGGGGGGGGGGCTTTTGTCCCCTTCACACCCCCCCCCCCCAAGAACTAAATTCCAAAGGTCCTCTGTGGATGCCAACGCAGGGAAAGAAAATCGCTTTAGGCAAAATAGTTGAGGAGTGCAAACAGAGCAAGGGGGCGCAAAGCCTTCAGGGATTAAGTGTGTTTGAGTGTATGGGGGGGGGGGGCATTTCATTCAGAGTTCACTGTAGATTTAGTCAATCCCCTTGGACGGTTGACATGCTGCTGAACTAAACATGCACCTAGAACAACTCAAGCGCCTTGATTACTGAATTGTGTGAAAACAAATCTTTGAACACTTGTTTCTTACTTTTTCCAGTGAAACGCAGATTTGTTTGAAATAATGAACAGCAATGTCACAATATTATCCCAGTGTCACTTAATCCTTTTAAGTCTGTCTTTTCTTTTCTTCAGCTTCAGCAGTTCTTTGCAGCACAACGTGTTGCAGGTAAATCTCCCGCGCAGTAAACTTGCGAGACTGACACCTTTTGACTGAAGCCTACAGGCTGTAACAGGCGCAGACAGAAAATGGCTATGATGTCAATGACAGGGCGCGCTGTCAGGCAGGGGACGAGCGCTGACACACAGCGTTCGCTGCTTCTTGGCCAGGAGCCACAGAAAAGGAGGCAGTCTCGGGTATTCGGTCAATCAAGCCAGGGCCTAACAGCTTATAGGCCTGACTGAGATTTCTACTGTTTAACGGTGATTAGCTGCTGATGGGATGGTGGATTAACAGCGTGGAGTCCAGATGTGCCAATTGTCTGCCCAGAAGGCAGAAGTGCATCCAATCTATTACCCAATCGGTCAATAATTAAACTCAGAGGTTTGATCAATGCAGGGGACACACACACACACACACACATACGCATCTATGCACACGCACGCACTCACTCGCATAACATGTTCTGAGAGTGGAGAACTGCTTCTAAGACAATAGCTCGCACGTTTCTTGTTTCTGAACGGATGTGTGGAGCAATACGGAAAATTCGTTCAACTTTTTAGGAGGAAAGCACGCTGCGGTCGGAGCTCAGAGTTGCTCAGCAAAAAAACAAAGCTGTATTACAGAAAACGTTCATCTTTTAAAGCATCAGTTGTTGACCAGTCGGGTGATGTTATGGACAGGAAGGAAAGGCTATTGATACAATTTGTGTATATGAGTGAAGATGAAAGGAAATTACAAAAATGTGCACATTTCTTATAGCAAATGTCAAAGGATGATTTTTGTTTTTGTGTTGGTAACAGTTTTCTATTGGCTTGATCACCAGAGTACTTGCCAAGATCAATGAACACACGAGAGAATTTATTCTTCTACAGCAAAGGTCAAATTTGTACCATCTGTAAACTGATTGATATTTAGGTCACCGTTTGACTTCAGGTATGTTTCTCTAGTGGATGCACCCAGATATCTCTAATCTGGGTAACGTTTTGATTATCCAATGTCACTGTATATAGGAAAAAAGGCTAAATCTATAACCAAAACTAGTTGTGACCTCCAGTTCAAAGGACACCAACAGCCATCTTTCATCTTCACAACTTTCGAGCGTCTGCTGAAGGTTAAAGTTGTCTTCAGTCTAACTCAATGTGGCAGCAGATCAGGGCAGGGAAACCGGAGAGGGCCCCGGGCCCCGAACCACAACAAAGAGCCTGGACTGTCATCTAGACCCAATCTGAAAAGAGAACCCCGCCCACACCACAACTCCCACTCACCCACCGAGGCATACGAAGCACACAAACCTACACTTAAAAATACAAATACACACCCAGTCATAAACAAACACAGAACCGTGAGCCGTGTGAACACAGCGCACACAAACACCGAACATGTGGGAAAAGTGTCTAAAAATACAAGACTAATGCAGCTGATTGTCTGATTATGGCCAAGAAAACATCCTCCCTGTTGTTTCACACAGAGCAAAAACTAAAAATAAGAATTATTTACAGAACTTTTCACTCAGAGTACACAAACATAATCCCAGACTTGATTGCATGAGGTCGGCGAGACAATTAGAGCCATTTTTCAACCGATTTACAGTCACACACTGAATATGAGATCTTCCAAAGCTCTGGGTTACAAATCCGTTCCAGTCAAATGGGCGTCACAACAGCCTCGACAGACTTGGGCTTCAGTTACATGCCGTTGTTACGCGGCACCGGGTCACATCTGTTTGACTTGAAGATAGCAAGGTGTGACGAGCTCTGAGACCAGACATCATGGAGGAAACACCTTGGAGGTCAGTGCTCAGTCAGAGCACACGGATGACCTGTGCCGACAGCTACGCAGTCATAAGCCAGACTTACAGAGGGAGTAATGACATTGTAAATAACACCGACAGTCTACCTTGTTATTAGATGTATCATGTTCAGTCTGTAACGCCTGAGTGATCTAACTTCTTTAGGAAGATTATATATGGAGGATGTTGTGATAATGTCAGGGAAAACTTTATGCTCATCTATCATCAAAATGTGAGTAATACTGCAAATTAAATGTCAGCCATGGACCCACAAATCATGCGGATAGTACTTTTCTTCTACAGGAAATTACATATTAAAGAAAAAAGGATGTACAGTTGGTGGATGAGCTTAGAAAAGCTTGGGGGTGGGGCTGCTTGATCACACACAGGAGTAACCGCACTCTTTTTAGCACCTGGTTTGAGGTGCCATGTTATTTCCTAACGTAATCCCAAAAGAAAAAACAGGCTTGAGCACTGGCACACAAAGAGACACACAGACATTCCCATAGAGTCAGTTGTGCAGCATGCCAGGAGTAAGCAAAGCACTCTGGCTGCTGCCCAGAATCATTGCTGACTTTCAATAACTCTACCGCCGTCTGTCACGGGAGACTGCAGCATCTCATCACTCTGAAGAACCGGTCCACTGAGTGAAAGAGAAACTCACTCGTTAGGCCATTCATCTCCATTGATTTCTACCCTCAGGGGTGCACGCTGTGCAATACCAAAGACAGACATGAGTTGATTTAAGGGGATATGTACACTCAAGCCATTCATTTAGTATCTAATCATATAAATGCTTTTCTTAAACTGCTATTAATGACTGTGAGGTGAATATGTAGTGAAAGTCAAACCTGTAGGAAAAGTAATAAAAAGAGATAAGGGTGGATCTTTAGCTGATGGGCTGCTGAGGGAGGTGAAATGGAGCAATAGCTCCCTCTGCAGGGAAGAAACGGCACCACGGCAAGTGTCCAAAACAATTCAACAGTCCCCCCAAAAATGTAAAATAACATTATTATTAATAGGCACTAAATTGATCTTTGAATGATGTGTTTACCAGAGATTCCCCCATATGTTTCTTGGAATTAAATCATTTAGGCTGAAAAAAACAACAAGAAATCTTAGTTGACTGCCTAAATGACCAATTAGAGGACTAATAGGGTGAAGCCTTTTAAATAGTACACTCAGACAGAAGGTAATGAGCCAGTATTGCTTTGGACCAGACATGACATAAAAAAGCTCTAAAAAGACATAAGAAACAGAACAAAACTCATTGTTCCATAGTCAATCTCAATAAAACCCTGCACACAAAATTATGTCCTTTTATTTTCCGTAACGTCACTTCTACAAGACCATAATAAATACTGTAGAGGAGCAAACACACCAAGAGTTTGACGTTTGTTGTAAAATCTCAGTCAAATTTAAAACAGGAGCCACAAATGTAAACATCTGCCAAAACAATATAACAATTCAAACATCTGCAGAAACAATATAACATTTCAAACAGCTGCAGAAACAATATAACATTTCAAACAGCTGCAGGAACAATATAACATTTCAAACATCTGCAGGAACAATATAACATTTCAAACATCTGCAGAAACAATATGACAACGTAAACATCTGCAAAGGAGACATTAGGGAGGGCACATTGCAAACTGACAAGCATCAC